GTTATGGACATAGCCACAACTCATGTAACAACGTAGAACATGCCCTTGTAAGATGGCCTAATTTGCAAAGATAATCTCTAAATTTTTAGGCATCTTTGGAAGTTCATATCTCCTCACCAGAGATTGGAATGATGTGATTTGAGATCTCCAAGCTAGATACTAAAGTCCTTTTATAAATATCAAAATATTCAAAAGCGTTGGCAAAGCTAGTCAGGATACAAGCAGAATTTTGCCATCAACTTTGAGTGGGCGTATCTCACGAACCACAAGTCGGAATTGAGCGAAACTAGCGCAAAATGAAGTCAACACCTTGCAATTTCAACCGTGAAGATTATACTTTGAAATATGATGTGTAATATCCTCTGTGGTCAATTCTTTACACTGAAAATTTCAAGAAGAAATCTTCAGAAGCCTTGTCTTGCAACACTAGCATTTCTTGGTCCTCGGGGTAGTCGTTGAGACTAAAGAAAGTCATCAAAACTAGGCTTTGATACCAAATATTATAGGTGAACAATAGGTCTTATGAGGTTGGTAACTTAATGGTAGATTTGTGGAGGAAGTGGATGAGAAGTGATATAGCTAAGGCGAAAAATGGAAGTTGTTGCACGAGTTTTTTTTGGTGTTTTTATGAAAGAAAAGAATAAGTTTAGGAGGAGAAATAGAAGGCAAAAAATTTGTTGAATGGAAATAGGAAGAGATAAACCAAATTGGTGTTAAGAGATATGAAAAACTCTTATCTTAACTTGGAATTAGATCTAGAAACTAAAATATAGAATTAGAGATTTGGCTAAAATAACCTTACACTATTTTAATGAATTACTCAAAGAGTAAAATAAGGAAATTTTCATTGATTAAAGTATGTTTACAAGGCCATGCATAGGACCTCAATATATATAGGCAATACTACAAGGGATGTTTCCTTACACTTTCCTACAAATCAAATGAAATAGTATCCTTGAATTATCCTCTCATTTGAGTTGAACTTCCAAGATATATCTCCAAATTTTGGGCTGATCTTCTTTGGTATTATTAGGGGAGAAATTCTGATCGTTTAGTGGTGAGAAACAAGGTAGAGACATTAGGTAGAGACATTAGGTAAAGAATCATCGACTTTGGTGACAAAAAATTGACAAATTGTACTATTCATTCAAGGACATTCTCTGAATTTTTGGCCAACACATGTCGGAGATTATTTGGACTTGATTTTGTGTGTAAAATGACTCACTTTTGGAAGATCACTAAGGGCAAATTTTGGCCATGTGACAGGAAATAAAGACAATGACTTTGGTGTCACAAAATGTCAAGCTATTACTATTCAATTAAAGACTTCTTTTGACCATGATGTGGGAGGGTGACTAGCTCTTGTTTTATGTGTGAAATAAGTCATTCTTTGGAAAATAATAAAGGTGATTTTGGCCATGTGGTAGGAAGAGGGAGTGTAAACATTATTTGGCTAAACAAAAGACTTTAAAGGATAAATATAAGACACTTAGGTTTTATTTTTCTTATATGGTCTCATTTTTAACCAAGACTTTAAAATGGATAGGGAATAGTTTATTTTGGTTAATCAAGAAGAAATGAAAGAGTTTAGATTGTTTTGAGAGTGGTAGTTTTTGGTGGAGCCATCCAAGGATAAAACAATATTTTCCAAAAAATATTTGAGGAAAAAAGTGGGGAAACAAAAAGAAAAAACACATGAATAAGAGTTTTGATAACCACAAGAAAAATTTTCTAATTTTGTGTTAATTCTTATTTCGGGCTATGTGTGTGTGTGTCTATATATATGTGCGCGCGCGCGCGTGTGTGACACACAGACATACATACATATATAAAATTACTAAAACAGTTTTTCCTAAATTTTTTATGTTTTTTATGAGATAACTTTTTATAAATTTTATAGGAAGGGTCCCATTTTTTAATTTTGCCAATGTCCCATAAAATGTCAAGAACGACACTGTTGAACTCTCTATAAGGGGCTGTTTGTTTCAGCCTCTTAATGGTTCAGATGTCTGAATGATTCAGCACTTAATGGTTCAGACTGTTTGTTTCAGCCTCTTAATAGTTCAGATGTCTGAATGGTTAAGAGATTTGCTTCTGAATGGTTAAGTATTATACAGAGTCTGAATGGTTAAGAGCTCTTATCTGAATTGATCAGACATTTGCCTCTGAATAGTTAAACAATATACTAGCTCTTAATGGTTCAAACCTCTTACTGGTTCAGCACTTAATGGTTCAGGCCTCTTACTGGTTCAGCACTTACCCATTCAGAAGTTACCAAACAGCCCCTAAGTATTTTTTTTTCTGCATGGAGAGAGTTTGATTGACCAATCCAGAGTATTATCGTAACTACATTTCTCTCACTCTAGATCAATTCATATGTTAATGTTATTACGATTATTCCGGTGAACTAAAATCCATTATTATTATTAGGGATGCATTAGTAAAAAGTTTAGCCGAAGCGGGATTGTGCTGAACGGTAGTGAGACCAGTACTCTTTGACAAGCTGTCCATAGAGTGATCCCTCTGTCTTCATTAACTTCATTGGTTCATCATACTCCACAATTTTCCCTATACATTTCAAAATCAGAACAAAACCAGAACAAAATCACAAGACTGTTAAACGCAGAAAAAACCAGCTACCATACACGGAGAGAGAGAGAGAGAGAGAGAGAGAGAGAGAGAGAGAGAGAGAGACAATGAATTGAAAAAGGTTGTCTCACCATCACTAATGGCAAGAACCATTGTGCAATCCATAACGGTGGGTATCCTGTGAGCAACTGTGATGACCGTGCAATCAGCGAATTCTGTCCGGATTGTTTTCTGTAGAATCATGTCTGTGGCATTGTCGATTGACGCAGTTGCTTCGTCAAGCACTAAAATCTTGCTTTTCTTTAACAACGCACGCCCAAGGCAGAACAACTGCCTCTGTCCCATGCTCCAGTTTGATCCATCTTCCACCACTGAAACAAAAGCTCTTTGCTGTTAGTTTGCTTTGAGCACAACATGGCTTTTTCACAAGACAAACAAAGAGACATACATACCCACAGAGTTGAGCCCTTTTCCTTTCTCCTCCACGGCCTCCTTAAGCTGGCACTTCTCAAGAACCTTTTTGGGGGGAAATGTTTCAGTTGACAAAAAAAGAACAAAACCAAAATAAATGCATAAATGGTAGAAATGATAGCATATATACACCTCCCATATTTGCTGGTCAGTGTGCTGACAGAGTGGATCAAGATTGTATCTCACAGTTCCACTAAAAAGGGTAGGGTCTTGCGGAATGATCCCAAAGCGAGACCTCAAATCACAAAGTCCAATCTTAGAGATGTCAATTCCATCCACCACAATCCTACCACCTGCTGGCTCAACCAGACGGAAGAGTGCACCAATAAGTGTAGTTTTCCCACTTCCTGTCCTACCTACAATACCAATCTTATGTGCTCCTTCAAAAGTACAACTAATTCCTCGTAGAACCAGTGGACTACCTTCCCTGTACCGGATCTGTTTTCCCTATCAGTCATCAGTATGCTAATCTATGTAACCTCACACAGAGTAATTTCAGAAAAAATGTATGGAATCAATTACCTGCAAATCTTGAACCTCCACTCTCCCTCTTGTCGGCCAATTGACAGGAGGGCGATTCTTTTCAATGATCTCAGGAGCTTCGCTCGGTACATGCATGTACTGCTTTAGTCTTTCAACAGAAATGATATAATTTGCTAAGGTGCACTGGTTCTGGATTGAATTAACGAGGGACATGTTTAGGGATAGACCATAAGATAATGCCATCCCAATCAAACCTGCAACATCATGGAAAACGTTTACTCAACAATAATGTGTGTGTATGTGTGACTATTAAAAAGGGTATCCACTATAGACATGTAGGTAGCAAACCTGAGCTGAACGTCCCGAGTGGAAGCAAAACCATGCAAAGCGCAGATGAGGCAAGAACAGTCGCGCTGATTGTTTCTAGCCTTAGAATCAACCACTCATTTGCTGCAAAATTGTGGAAAAAGGGACTAGCATTTACATCAACTAGCTCGAGATTCTTCACAAAGAATCTATCCTCCTGTTCAAATGCTCTAATTGTCATTGACCCAGCAAGAGATTCAGCCAAGTGGTTTGCCACAAATGATTTGGTAGTCCCATTAATTCGCATAAGTTCTTTGGCAGAGGAAAAGTAGTATCTCTGTTGTCAGGGAACCTATCAGTTCAACTAACACTGAAACTACGCATATCATCGAGATTATTCAATAAGAATCCTAAATTATCACCTGTAACTGAATGGCAAGATAAACCATTGGTATGGATACAAACAGGACTTGCCATGTAACAAAGGCTAGCACAATGAGATTAGAATAAAAGTTTATGGTTGCTGCAAATGCAAATATCAAGCTAAACGGAACATCGAGATCAACAACACTCAGATCAACCGACACCTACAGTGATGACAAAAAGTGTTATAAACATATAAAACATAAAGACTTCATGAGTTTACATCCCAGCCATCATTATAGAGTTAAGTGCACCGTTTACCCCCAAATTCTTTGAAAATTGCATGGTTTACCCCCGAACATTAAAAAGTGCACCAAATACCCCTGAATTCTTCAGAAATTGCACGGTTTACCCCTGAACAATAAAAATTGCACCAAATACCCCTGAACTCTTCGAAAATTGTAAGGTTTACTCCTGAACATTTAAATAAAGATGACAATTTTGGGTAAAGATATTTTGGAAAATTCACAAGGGTCAGATGAATGATATTCACAATTCTTGTGCGTGGAAGCAACGCCCTCTCTATCTAATAGTTTACGACCAACGATGCAACGTTTTAATTTGTTCAAGGGTATTTGGTGCATTTTTAGTCTGCAGGGGTAAATCGTGCAATTTTCGAAGAGTTCAAGGGTAATCGATGCACTTTTTAAAGTTCAGGGGTAAAACATGCAATTTCTAAAGAGTACGGGGGTAAACTGTGCACTTAACTCCATCATTATATGTATAAAAACATACCCGGCTGAGTATCCTTCCTAATGGTGTGGAATCATAAAATGACATGGGTGCTCGAAAAAGAGAGGTTAAGAGTTGTGAGAACATAGAATGTGATGATTGCAAACCCAGAGTGACTGTTGATATAGATCTAGTGAGCAAGAATATCATTGAAATGACGCCAATTAGCAAGTACACTGCAATAAGCTTTATAGTAGTAACTTTAGAATTATCAACACTAGCAGCCATCCATGAGTTTTGTAGTACTTGTCCGATCACAAATATAATGTGTGACAACACAGCCAAAGAAAAGAACAAGTAGCCCTTGTTCTGACTTAGATAGTGCAAATAAGGCTTTAGTCCAATGTCCCCTACTTCCCTCTCTTCTTTCTTAATAAGCTGATCCCCTGTGCAGTACTCAGCCTGGTTTTCAAGTGGTGTCTTTCCAATATCTCCAGTAGAAATTTCATTCATTGGTAAAGAAGTAGCCTCTGCTAGCTTTTCCGAACCGGCAATCTGTTTATGTGCTGCAACCAAGCCCTGAAATTCTTCACTCATAGCCAATAACTGATGATAGGGGGCTCCTTGTAAAATTTGTCCATCCGACATCAGCTATTAATATATGTACCAGTACAGAAAATAAATTGATAAGCTCTGTTTATTCATTGAAAATTCACTAGTAAATCCAATTTCAGAAAGAGTTGCATAGACAAACAAACCAGGACAATATCAAATGCGGGAAGAAAATCAACTTGGTGAGTGACAAGCAAGACAGTCTTGCGTGAGAGAGCTTCCATGACATAGTCCTGTTATAGGCTCAAATCAGCTTTCGTTTAGAGAAGAAAAACTAATAATTAGTATGCAGGGTCGTAAAGTAATAACATTGAATAGGCTTGCAGCAGTATGTGCATCAACAGCACTGAAAGGATCATCCAAAAGATAGATATCAGCATCTTGATATAAAGCACGAGCAAGTTGGATACGTTGCTTCTGGCCACCACTGAGATTAACTCCTCTTTCTCCTATTTCAGTCAGATCGCCATAAGGAAGTTGCTCCAGATCCTTTACCAGTGAGCATTTCTCCAAGGTTTCCTGGTATTTTCGGCTGTCGAATGCAGAACCAAATAGAATATTCTCTCTTATGGTTCCTGTCTGAATCCAAGCTGATTGGGAGACATAGGCAATTTTCCCATATACCTCAACCTGTTAAGATATGTAATGTTAAAAAAATTGTCAAAATTGTAGAAAGCCAACAAAATGATATGTGCATGACCGCTATTGAAAATTTGACCAAATGATGCTTATCTTTACGATGCAGTGAACGGTATAGGAACTAGAACTTACAATTCCTTGGATGCTTGGGACTTCTCCTAGAATTGTTGCCAGAAGAGTAGTTTTTCCCGAGCCCACCTCCCCGCAAATAGCAATCTTATTGCCTGGCAAGACATCCAAAGTAATGTTTTGAAGTGTATGCTTTAAAGGATTCACTTCCCACGAAATATTGGCTGACCTGAAACATACTGCATAACTAGCTGTATTCTGAGCATAATGCTTCCGCCTCACATTAGCATTCTCGAGCTCTGGAGCCTCAAGAAATTTGATGATTCTTTCAAAAGAAACTTTTGCTTGAATCACTACACCAATAACATCTGGAATCATTCTTACAGGATCTTGAACAAGACGAAGAGTTGCTACAAAGGTAAAGACATTGCTTGCACGCAATGGGACTCCAAGAAAGTAGCAAGCTCCAAAAGTAGCCGTTGAGACTAAGACGGGTGAGGACCAAAATAGAAAGCTATTATATGCTTTGCGCATTTGAACGGCTGATAACCACTTCTCTTCTACTTTCCTCAAACTCTCAATGACATTTTTGAAGTGACTTCCCCATGCATACACTTTCAAAACCTTCATATTCACAAGAGCTTCTGACATAGCCATAAGTCTCTCATCTTGGGCATCCATCAGCTTTGATTGGAATTTATGTTGCAATTTTGCAAGCGGAGCATTACAGAGAACTGTTAGTATAATTACCAGCAAGGATGCAAAAGTCGCAATCCCAACAGCCTGAAAGAGAATTGCAAGTGCGAAGCAGAGCTGAAGACTTGTAGTCCATATTTGATGTAACCAAAATGGGAATTCACCAATTCGATAAGCATCCACAGTGACATAGTTCATAATCTCACCAGCAGAATGGGTTAGCTTTGAAGCATTGGATAATCGCATTTGCTTTTTATATATTGCTGCTGTGAGCAATGACCTGACTTTTAAACCAATTAGTCTGCTTCTGAAGTACCACTGTCTCTGTGACAAAGATTCGAGGCACTTTGAAATGAAAAGCAGTAATGCCAACGCATATCCTTCAAATTTAAAACTTGTGTTTCCTTCAGCAACCTCAATGAAGGAATTGAGAATCATTGGACCAGCAGAAACAGTAATGACCTTCAGAAGTGCAAAAAATCCGGACACGAAGAGCTCCTTCCGGTGGCACAAGACTATTGTCCTCAGGATCGAAGGTTGGCCCAAAGGGTCCAGCATTCTCTGTTTATTCAGTACTTCCATAAACATCAAGTAACATGATTCTGCCCTATCCGGCTTACGCAATTTGGGTATGTCTTTATCCTCAATAGTTTTTTCCCTGCCCAGTTTCATCAATGGATTCAACCACCAAAATGTGATTGTACTCAATGTCCCAGCTCCAGCAAACTTACTCACAGATCCTACATGATCGACTTTGTTTCTGCCAGTGCCATTACCATTTAACAGAGCATAGAGATCACTATCTTCAAATCTAGAGCTCTTGTATATGTGTAGTAACAATATACTTGCTCCTATGATAGACAGTACATCTAAAGCCATCTTAAATGGTGCTTCTTTATGAACAATAACAATCACAAGAGAGAAACAGAAAGCAATTCCAGTGAAGACAAAAGCAAAAATGGTCAAGAGCTTAACTAAGGCATCCGAAAAATATTTTCCACGGAGGGTCACAGTTAAACTAAATAATAACCATGCCGTTCCATGAAACAAGAATTTTAACCACCAATGTATAGGTAACATGCTTTTCGTTTTCCTCACTTCCTCTTGTAAAGTCCAAATTCCCAGTGACAAATATATCAAGCCTAATAAGCCATTAAAGGTGGACGATATCAACTGCAACCAACTAATACCATGTGTACTAATACGTTTTGATGTGGACTTGGACAGTGAGGTGAATAGAAGCATGAGCAAAATAATAACATCAAAACTTATGACCAACACACTATTGATACAGGAGGAAGAGTGGGTAACAAAGACCAAATCAGCAACACATGGGTTTCCATTCTGATGGATGCAATCTGGCATGCCGCAGAACAATGACCAAAGCTTCTCCATCACTTGTTTAACTCTCACTGCATATCCAGTTTATAGCAATCAAAGTGCTTTCATGTCAGGAAAAACTTTCGAAGTTTCTGAAATATCAGCTAAAGAACTTGCCTCGCAGAAACATAAATAGGAAGTACATCTTTGTATAGAATGCAATCCCATCCATTAAAAAACCAAAGAGCAAAATAGAGAGAAAATTTATCAGCTGTTTAATTTGGGACAACTAAGTACGTACTATTAAATAATGGCATACTAAATCAAGATTTATTTAGGATTGAAGTAAGAACATGAGAATTGAGAAGCAGTTTAAACAGAGAAGATGGTCAGCGAGATCCAAACAGGAAACTGCAGTCGATGAATATTATAAACACCAACAAATACCTAGTTGGGTTCCACAAGAGTAGGGTTTGGGAAGAGTGTGTGTATGCAGACCTTACCCCTACTCGTAAGTAGAGAGGCTGTTTCCAAAAGACTCCTAGGATCAGGTAACACAGAATCACGGATAACACAAGAACACAGAATACACATTAAGCAGGGAACAAACTAAATAACTGAGGAAAGGCACAACAAATATAAAGCACCAAGCATATAAAGCACACAGCTACAAGTGCAAAACTACCTTCAAGCCCTAAATGCTTACCAACCTACCCTAATCCTAGCTCTCCAAACATTCTTATCTAAGGCCGTGGTAGCGGTTTGTGTGAGTATGCATGATTTTTTTATGTAAAAAGCCTAGTATCCAAAAAATTTGAATGAGTATTTTTTTGCTAGGCAAAAAGTTGTTCTAGAAAACTACTCCCTTCCTTCAGAATTAAGTCTTTTACAAGAGTCGTGCTAGAGAGACACCAAAGTGGTGATACCACTTTAACCCCATGTTTCATACAGACACAAACACACACACATAATAAAGGTCTTGTGCACACATACCATTATTGTCTGCGTGTCAGTGTGATACATGGGGTCAAAGTGGTGTCAGTACTTTGCTGTCCCCCTACCTTTTTTGTTTCAACAATTGAATGGGTGTGTGGGCACATTTATTAGTAGAAGTAAAAATGTTTGGTGGTTGAGTTTGTGGAGATGAAAAATATGTGAACCATGAAAAAAAGAAACTTTTTTATTAGACAAAGACAATAGTATTCTCAACGTTTGAATTTAGTTGTACACTCTCTAAAAAATCTCATTTTAATAAATGAGTGTAAATTGTGAAAAAAAAAAGTTTCTCTAATGAGTTTGTCGTTCACTCATAATGCACATAACATAATGTCAAAATTAACATAATATCTTTGGAGAACACAACAAACAACAACCGAGAAGAATCCCACAGAAGTAGGATTACCCAGACCTAAGCCCTACTCGAAAGTTGTGAAGTTGTTTCCAATAAAGTGACAACTAATTCAGGACAAACAAAAACAAGAAAGTGAACGTGTGAAGATGTGAATCCAGACACGGGAGCAGTCTTTACCAAACATTTATAATAGCAATAGCTCTTTAACTAACCACTTAAAAGAGAAAAAAAACAGTCCTAATATTTTGCAAAAAATAAAATAAAAGACACTCATCCTGGTTTCAGACCCAAACAATAGTTGCCGCCAAGAAAGGAAAGAAATCACATCATTACTTTAGTAGTATTAAATGCTCTAAAGAAAACCTGGCGAAAGTATGAAAATTCATTCGCCGAATGCCATCAAAGTAACCAATCTGAGAGTATGGGTGCTGCAGCAGCATACAGTATCCCTTTGCCGTGTGATGTTTTTGTATGATGAACGTATTAAAGATACATAGACGAGTTAGCGCAGAATTTGCTCTTATATCGCGTCATTGCTGACGGCCCATCAGTCTGGGGAGGGGGCGAGGAGCCGAGAACAAATCATTGGTGTCGTCTCTCCCCGGAGACGTATCCAGATGGAATACTTTAGGCCAGTTTGGTGAGAGACGCGATATGCGTTTCCCTGTCTAAATAAATAGTGCTAGAAAAAAAAAGATGAGAAAAAATTTAAAAAATGATACTCAATAATGGCATGTTTTTTTAATTAGTCATTAAAAATAATTAATTCCAAACATGGTACTTCTTAATTGAAAATAATGCTCAGTTTAGTTTCCCAACTAACGATTGTTAAAATGACATTAAAACGATATTAAACATTATACTACTTTTCCAAAATGATATTTTCTGACTGTGTGTTTTCTCAAACTGCCACATTTTCGAAATAAAAATACATTAGTTATTGAAAAATATTTCAAATTCTATAGGATGACAATATAATACTTAAAACTATAAATACAATTTTATAAATTTAAAAGTAAACATTTTCAATTATTTATAATTATCTAGAAAAATAGCATGTAAATAAAATGATTAATAATAGTTAAAAAATCACCCTAAATAAGAGTATAACATAAAGGAAATACCAAAATAGGAGTTATTTCTTTATATTTTACTCCTATTTAGGGTGATTTCTTCAACATATATTAAATATTTTGTTTACACGATATTCTTTTAAATAATTGTAAATAATGTAAAATGTTACTTTCAGATTTATAAAATTATAGTTGTAGTTTTTAGTATTATATTGTCATCCTATAAAATTTAAAATATTTTTCATAATTAATGTATTTTTATTTCGAAAATTGAGAAAACACCCAATTATAAAGTACAGTACCATTTTAGAAAAATAGTATAAGGTTTAACGTCTTTTAACGCCGCTTAAACGACTGCTGGTCGTGGGATTGAGCTGAACGTTATTCTCAATTACCGAGTACCATTTCGAGAATTAGTTAGTTTTGAAGTCTAATTTGGGAAAACATATAGTTATTGAGTATCATTCTGAAAATTTAATTTACTCTAAAAATAAATTTGAATTCTAGACATGTATGTTGAATGATCGGAATTTGAGAGATGTCAATATAGGAATTTGATATGACTACCCTCACCTACCATTGCCCCAGCCAATCACCCTTATTGGTGTTCACGTCTGCTAATCATTAATTAAATTATGATTTTAAATTTCTTCAAAAAATCTCATTTTAGGTTTCAAAACTTATATTATTTCTCTCATATATCTAAGTCTATATCATTTCGTATTTCGTGTGAACACATACTCTTAGGGCCAAGTGGTTGGAGGGGAGGGAAGGAACAGTGCAAAGCTTACCAATGATCACTACAGAGCTCGCCATGTTTTTTGTAACTTTAAATTTTTTAAAATTTGAAGTTTCAATGCTCATCTAATCTAGTTACGAAGCTCACCATCCCCCACCACAAAGCTCACCAAACATATAAACAAAGCTCACCACAATTTTATACCAAAACTCACCATTTCTTTAAAATAAAAAATAATAAAATATTAAAATAGGACCACGAGTGTAACACTCCAAAACATACTTTAAAATTTATTATTGAATTATTACTCAATTAAAAAAACTTGTTTTGGTTAAAATAAATTATTGTTAGGCTTTGGTCCGAAATAAAATATGTTTTAATATCTAATATCACAATCTGGATAAATCTCTTAGAGATAGATCCAATATGTTGACTATTTGTCTAATCTTGATTAGGAGCTAGAGTATAGACCCAAATTAAGAATAAATAAAGAAATTGAATTATGATGTGAACTTTGAAATGATTTATTGAAATAAATCATGAGAATAAATAATATGAATTAAATGTGAAAACCTTTTTGAATAAAGGTCAACTAAATCAATTTTGACTTTGTCAAAGTCAAACACCTAAAAATATGATGGCGGAAAAAGTATTACAAATAAATATAAAAATTATATCGTTAGATAGAATTTGACTGTCTGATCGCAATGGTGCAACCAGAATTCAATTCAGAGAAAGTTGGACCAAAAAGTATACCCCGATTGGGACCCAAATTAGTCCCAATCAGAAAAGAGTCGTGTGAATCTTCAATCGGCGCAGCCTCCCCTACTATCGATCCTGAATTGGAAATCCTACGCAGACCTTGGCAGCATCCTCTATCACCTTCCTATATAAAAAGAACCCAACTCATTCAATTCTTCACCATTTCTCACAATATTTCTTCCTATTCTGTTGCTCTGAGTGAGGAGAACGCAATGGTGCTGTCAATTGGGTGAGTGGTCACCGGAGTTGGGAGTAATCATCGCCGGAAGTTTCACTGGAAAAATTCCAAAACCTTCGTTTAAGCTCAAGGTAAGCCCGTAGATATATCTAGTGACTAGAATGTTCGTATAGATCGTTTCTACATTCATAAATGGTCGTTTGGTTAAATTTTGTGTTTGACATGTTTGAAGAACTAAGATTCATAAACCTTGAAATTGTTGTTAAAACTATGAAATAATGATACCAAAATGATCTATGAACCTTTTAGAACATTTCTATATCATTTAATTAAAGTTTGGTGACCAAAAATGAAGTTGGAGAAAACTGATCGAAGATAGAGGACGGTGAACAGTGGAACCTGGCCTTCGGTGGATTGATCCAGGGTAGTGGATCGATCACTAGAGCATTGATCCTAGGCAATGGATCGATCCTATGCAGTGGATCGATCCTCCTAGCTAGACCGATCACCCGAATTTCCCAACCCAAATATTTTTCTAAAAATGATAGCTTTGGAGCCCTAAAATCCTATTTTTGATAACAATCAATGATGATTAATATAAAGATGATTTCTTGAAATAAAAATGATGTTTTTTACAAATAAAATATTATGTGATCTACGACGGTAAGCTAGGGTGTTAATGTTGGAACATGAGTTTAAGCCTATGTCGTACTAAAGTTGTGTTTGTTTTATGACATGTTTTGATAATGTCAAACCATCATGAAAACAAGAAGAGATTGAAAAAACTAAAGGAGAAGAAACAAGACATATTGATCAAGTGAAAACGAGAACCAAGAACAAAGAACAAGGACGTAGAAATAGTTAAGTCAGTCTTTGTGTGATCAAGACCAGCATTGACTTTACAATTTGGCTCTCTAGGCTAAATACATTAAAATACTTTTCATGCATCATCAAAATCATTTTTATAATTTTTAATAAGCCTAAAAATACTTGGAGTTCGCCCAAACCAAATACCAAGCCATCCGGCACTCGGTTTTCAGAAACCGGCGTTCGGCATGTAGTTATCAGCGTTGGTTTTTGGCGTCCGAAACAATCAAGTGTTTTTTAACCTTTTATGATTGGTTTTTACTCCTGAGAACATTTAAATAGTTTTCCAACCAAAACGCTTCAAAAACCACCTTTCATTTTTGGTCTTTTGGTAAAAACCATGTGAAACGACATAAACTTGGCTAGCCATGGTTTTTACCTAAATGACGTGGTTTTTAAGATATTTAATTTGGCTTCTTATTAAAATTCATTAAATAAGTGTTTGCAACACTTGGTTTTAAATTTGGAGAACTTTGATTTTTGACATTGGCTTTCGGTGTTGACTCGCTAGCCATGGTTCTTGCAAACTAACCTAACAACGATGTTGGAGTGCCCAACAACGTTGTTTGGTGTTGGCACCTGAAAACCATGGTTTGGCACTAAGTCCTCCTATAGCGATGTTGATTATTGTACATCGCTGTTGTAACGCCACGAAATATGGCCTAAATTTTATAAAACAAAAGTAGTTTTGAGTATTATTGTCTAATAAGGAATATTTATACATTTGACCAAAAAAATAAATGGATTTTCAAAATAAGGACTTTTTGTTAAAAACTTATTTTCATGGATATGTCTCAAGGAGACGAATCCAACGGATATTTTATGAATCAATCTGATTTATATGTTTCAAGCTATGACGGTTTTAAATATTAAAATTTGTAACTTTGACCCATAAATTAAACTCAATTCAAAAGTGATTTTATAATATTAGAAATCTTAATCTTTGACACTTGACAACATCATATTCAAGATTTGGATGAAATTCATATATTTTTATATCATTTATATTATTAAATTAATTTATGACGAGACAGACCCAAACATTAAGAAAAATAAAAGTTCTCAGAAAAATATTTTGATTACGTCAAAATTCTAGTTTTGACAGTCTCATTCCAAAAATACAGTCCATTTTCAATTCGGAGCAGTTTGGGAGAAAAAGCGTGTACCGTTTGGAGTATACTGTTCAGTTTGGACAAAAGTCCAAAACTAATATTCTAAAATCCCTCCCCAATCACGTATGTGACTTCACTAGCCACCCTAGCCCTCCACTAACATAAAAACTCCAAATCCCTTTCTCATTATTATACTCCTCCTTTATGATTTACCATCATCATCATTAAACACCATCATCATCCATCCATAATTCATCTCCTCTCCATTCTCTCTCTGTCGGCAGCCAAGGAAGGAGGAAAACCAACCCACCAAATTTCATGGTTCTATGATAAGGAAGAAGAAGAAGGAGCAAGAAAACTATCCAAAATTTCCAAATCTTGACTCCAAAAACGCAGCAGCTACTTTGAGGTAAAAACTGAAATTTTCCATCCATTATCTCGAAATACTTCTTGAACCAAAGTTGTAGCCCCGGACGATACGAATCCAACCCAACAAACGGCTCGTAATTTCGTTAAGTAACAAAGAAGATATGGCCAAAATACTGGGACTGCGTCAGTGGTGGCGAGCTCCTCGGGTTGGCATGTTTTTCTTCACCAAAATTCACATTATCTCATCCCAAATACTTACCATAAACTCTCTAACAATTATTAGGAACATACGGAAGGTATTGCAAAGAAAGTTCGGCATTGGAATGTTGAAGTTAGTGAGTTAATCGTCAGAATCATGTTCATCGACATACCCAAAATTCTGGACAACAACTTTCTATTGACTTCAGGTCCGATTTACGCTATTTTACATATGTTAAAACGAAATACTTTCTATACAAAAGTTGTAGCCTTACATCTTAGGAATCCACAGAATCAAACGGTTTGCAATTTCGTGAAGAAACGATGGAGATATGC